GGGGGGGGGCTATCTATCCTGGATTCCCTGTGTTTCAGACTCTTTATCTGTAGCCGTGTGCATGCTCTGGTCTAATCCGTTTTAGACCTAAGTTAGAATTGAGGTCATGATAGTGGGGTGAAGGAAGCACCAAAGAACTAGAGGTGAGTTGCGTGTTTCATCGGTGCTATACTGCACCCTGACTGGCTCTTATCTTCCTGTGACCCCTATGTGAGGGGATGTCCAATTGTCTACAGATGGATATTGGGTGTTTAGTCCATTCCCTTCCCCTCCCCCCAGTTCACCTTGAGTATGATTTTATTCTGGGTCATAGATGCCTGATACCTTGAGTCCATCAACACCTCGTGATCACACCAGCTGGTGTGCTTCTTCCATGTGGGCTAGATGGCTGCTTGTTTATCTTCCAGCTTTTAAGACCCCAGACGCTCTATCTTTTGATAGCTGGGCACCATCAGTAAAATTGCTCTTTTTAATTGTAGTACTTATCTTTAACATTTGTGTCTGCTAATTCCAGCTTCTAGACCTCTTGAGGTTGGTCTTTGTGGACTATCTCTTTTCTTGGATATGGTAACCTTTTCTTGCTTCTTAATAAATCTGGTCATTTCTGATTTTGGTCCTGGACATTGTGAATGCTATGCTGTATGGATTCCAGAATCGATGCTGTTCTCATCGCTTGTTGGTGCTGGCTGAGTTTTATCAGGCCATAGAGTGCTGTGTGCTGTATAGGCAGCAGTAGCAGGCTCTGCTCATTCCTAAGATCACGAGTTTGCTAAAACCGAGGCCTCCAGAGGGAATCGACCCAACACTTTTTTTCCTTCCATGTGTGGATTTTACACACCTCCCTCCACCCCGTCTCTCTCTCTCTCAGATGATACTTATTTCCTGTGGGAAGGTTGGTTCATTCTCTAGGAGCCATGTTCATTATTGGCAGCACTGAGAGCCCTCATGGTTGGTTGTTTTTTTGCTTTCGTGTTTTACTGCCTCTATTTTAACCAGCTTCAGCTTATCTTCTGTGACTCTTAATTAAAGCCTGTGTGCTGTTGGATCGTTTAACGTGTCAAAGTATTTGTATGTTGAAACAAAAAAAGTATGGCTGGAGAGAATGCTTCAAAAATTTTGTTTTCTTCATATTTCAAGACATGACCCTCTTAAGAATTTTGTGGCCCTCTTCAGACATAATGCATACTTTTCCATTTCTACTCTAAAGGTCAAGATTTGATCATCTTAAAATGGTGGCTACACTTGGCAAAGAGGAAGGGTGTTAGGGAAAGGTATGTACAGTGAACCCTCGTTTATCGCGG